AAATGTTAAGGAGTAATAAACATGATGTGACACGTGCTTGCTTGTTCGTTAAAGTTAGCAATGAATACTTCGAACTTTTAATACTATAAAGTTTATTCTTTCTTATTCATCTAAAAAAGCAAGCTGCATGAAACAATATATGTTTCATTCATTGTAGATCATAAATGTTAACAGTCAGAAATAGAAACCTCTCTGAATGTTAACAATACAATGTTAATGACATACGAAACAGAAACAAACAAAACAATCTAACCTAGTCGTAAAAATCATGGTTTCTTCGTTCAAATACCTTAAACAGCCTGATTTTCATGAATAATTAAAGGAGTACAAGAATATTTCTCCTAACATATTTAGGAATTACAAGATTTCAAGAATATTCCGGAGCAACTACAGGAAATCTCTCACTAAATATAAAAAATATATTTCAGAATAAAATTTTCACTTATGCAAACAATGGTTTCGTTATCCTCAAAAGAATAATTCAAACAACTCCTATGATAATCTCTGAATGAGATATATCTGAATAAACAAACGGATGTAGCAAATACAGTCAATAGAGCAGTTAGAACTAACTGTATGTTAGTTATCCGTACATGGATATTTGAGATAAATATCAGAAAAGAATACGAATGGGCAAAATACTATCATTAGGGTTGATAAGAGGCAAAATATCGATAGAATTATTTAAACTTTCAGGGACATAAGCTCATATATGAATAATCCATTAGCTCCTCCTAAATTGCTAATATAATTACTATATAGGTGGGAATAAAACTGAAAAAAACGGTGATATACAGGAATGAAAAAAAAAAATCAACACAATACATAGGCCTACTACAAAAAGAAAAGGACCCAAAAACATGTTCAAATTCTATTCCCCCATCTTTTTCTTTATTGGACTGTGCCAGCTTTTACTTCCACTCCATTTACCATTCATCCATATCCATTCATGCATTATTTGGTGCATTTTTTGACCGTAGCAACTGTCTTCGGTGTACTCAGACGTCTAAAGAATGCTTCTCTTTCCGCTTCAGTTCGTCGTCGTGGAGCTGGATGGACACCCTGTGTTGATTGTCCTGTTTTTGGAGATCTTGTGGAATGAGTAGCAGACTGCACTTTCTGAAAAGTGGAATATTAGAGAGGAAAAAAAAAATCGCTTCTGAAAGAAGACATCCTGACTGCCAATCGCACAGTTGAAATCGATAAATTATAAAACAAAATGTACTTAAAGATAACTAAAGTCGGATAGTGAGTTATACTTCTTTCGAGGGATGATCTGACATTTACTGAATAACAAACCAAAATGCTCAACTTTTTGATTATAATATCTGAGTAGTCCACACAGACCGTTTGTTGTATACTATATAAGTGACCTGAGTATGAAAAATCAAGAAAGTCCCAAAAAATTACAAGAAATTTTTTTCAGCTGCTGCTAGGAATTAAACGTTTATTAGTCTCAGGTTGGTAACTGTATGCACTTTGTTTAAACAACTGCTTTTTAATTTTTAACCCTCAGAAAGATGCTCTTTTTTCACGAACGTAACGTCTTTTGACCATTTTCTAGCTACTCCATCCATCTTTTAATTATGCATACGGTCAATCATCCGACTCTATCGGATGAGCATTTAACACCACATGAAAAGCATAAAGTCTAAGGAAAAAAAAAAAAAACAAGCGTACAGAGAAATAAAACAACAAACTACTAATGTTTCATTATAAAAAAGGATCCAAGCAAGTTCCAAGTAAGTTCAGACTCTGTTTCATTAATCGTTTTACTGAACTCTGTGTCTTTTTTGGGTAAAAAAATAATCCGTACTTTTGCTGCAACACGACTTCGCAAACAGGGTGCAAATTCGAGCAGAGGCTCTGGTTTCTTCGCAGTAAGTGTCCAAATTTCATCTCCTACAAGTTTTAGTAGTCATAAACTATAAGAAATGAAGGATTCTGCTGAACAGCAAAGAATGTAAACTTCACCAGGTACAAGTTCATTCTGCCTGTGGTACGGCAAATCAAAAAATATGGATAAGTACAGGAAACTTCTAGAAGAGAAACCGCACTATTCTCTTTTCCTGTTGCTTTAGTTACATCTCGGTCCAACGAATCACTCCCTTTTGGACGTCGAGTCAATGATTGCCGAAAACGACTTTCACTTTCAATTGGAGGAAGACCATCCGCACCTTTCGCTCTTCCTAAAAATGGTGAACTTTAGTAAAATCATGTGGTAAAATCATCGTGAATAATTTGTAGAAGGATTAAATGTATTATATCTTAAAGCAGATAACTGCAACGGTAATGCTTATAAGCTACAATGCTTGTGGTTAAGGCTTATATTAAGCAGTGGCTCATCTTCAAGTAAAACGTGCTGTTCCAAGATTTCAAAGAGCCCTTAAATTCTGGTAATACAATAAACGTTTTTTTCTTTAACTTAGTGAACGGAGAAAAAAGAAGTAACCTTGAGTATTTCGGACGCGAACAGGTTCATGAGTTCCACGAGTACGCGGACGTGATACATGACCATCTTCGGCATTCTAAAGATGTGATAAATCGAAAAAGTGGAAATTTTTGAACAACTACAACTTATCAAATAAACCTGTGAATATTGATAGTCCAACTACATCATAATTAGGCTTCTTCAAAATTTATCTATTTTTTATGAGCATGTTATAATTGTGTTTATGCTAACATATCCCATGAAACTCTTTCGTATCATGAATTAACAAACTGTGTTACCTGAATGGATCTTACAACGAATTTTTTTACCTAAGTCTTTACTTCCTTAAAAGTAGTTTCTATGAAGTTTCGAGTCGTTCTTCAGCTAGACTCATGATGATTACCCTATATATTCCTCCTTTTTCGCCTTTGTACTCTTTTTCTTTCTCTCTTTCTATTTAAATTTTCAATTTTTTCAAACACTTGCCTTTTCTGTTTCTATAAGAAATAACTCTTTTTTTTACAACTCGCTGAAGATTACAGGCACAGATGTTTGCAGAATTATAGACATATGTGATTACAGAAATACGATTACAGAAGAATACAGACATACGTGTGCAAAATCTGAGAAGGTAGTCAGAGTCTTGTCAAGGAAAAATTTTTTCTTCGATTCGTCACACAATAAGCCTTCATAGCAGTATCTGCGACTTCCTCAACCTTCCATGTCTTACTCTAGTCACGCGCCTTTAGAATCTCCTACTGAGGGAAGTTAGCGAGGAGTCCTTTTTTCTTAAATCTAATAGGATCACTTCAATATCTGCTTACATATATTCCCAAATAGTGATTCCTCCATTAATGATAACCTCTAACTGTCATACTGACTCAAGGTTTAAGATTTGACCATAAAAAATACTCTTTTAATGAGAGAGAGAGAGAAAAAAAAAGAAAAACTTCCATTCTTTCCCACCAAATATCGTCACTTCTCAAGAGCTTTCTATGACGTTAAGCAATCTGCGCTACGAAAACTTATCAGAACCCCACAAGTGAAACTATATCATTGTTCATCAAATGATTAAACAACAATGACATAAAACTAGATTGGTATGCCGAAATAGACTCTAGTGCTGGAAGAATGAATGGTACTGCTAACCTTATTAGCGTTAGATACAGGCCCAGTATTATTTCCGATAGCATTTTTTGGAATATTTGAATTCAGTTGCCGCAATGGACGAGCATGTACCGATTTCATGGGCATCGATTGTTTTGGTGTAGTATTCACGGCTGAACTGATTTTCGTCATTTCCAAGCTTTGACTGCTAAAATAAGTGAATTATTAACTTCATTTAGCTAGTTAAAATCATAAAAGAGTGCATATTTTGAAATATGTGAAAAATATTTCTTCGATTTATTTGACCTGACCGCTTAGAGCTTCATCGGCTTCGTAGCATAGAATTTATTAATGTAAAGCGTAGTGAGAAAATCTTCAGTGAGAAAATATGGTTGGATAGAGCAATAGTGTTAATGTTGTTAATGTATATGTACTCTTAATTTAAGTTCATTACAGTCATCCAAAACTTCTGAATACATTATAAATAACTCGTCGTCTTCAGTGAGAATTCAACTGATTAAAAGTGAATCAATGTTTATATCAGCTAGCTTGTTTTGACCTATCAGTTATCACTCTTGGTTAGCGCACAGTTAAAATAGATCACTTTACACTAAGACAATGAAAGCAGACAAGTATTACTAATCAACAAAGAAATGATAATTTTTAAAGTTATTAGCAACGATATACCTCTGCTTCATTCTGGCGCGTGCTCTAGTTTCAGGTCCCGCATATGACGATTTTCTTATTGCTTGTGGCTTAGAAACTACTTTCTTTGCATTCTGAACGGTTATAGTGGTTAAATTCGCCCCATTCCGACGTTGAGCCATTGTTATTTGATTTGTCTTTACAGCATTTTCAGCTCTCGTTGCAATATTTCTGATCGGAGGAGCATTCGAACTTGCAGAACGAACACGTAAAGGTCCACGTGGTTGAATTCGCGTAGCTATTTCCGTTGTTTTACTTGTCGATGAACTATTTGTACGCATGAGACCCATTACGGGCTTCTGTGTTCTGGGTTCAGCGCTTGCCGCTCGAACTTTGGTTGTTGCTTGATATGTCAATGATCCGATTTTTCGTTCCATTTCAACAGATTGCACACGGCCTCCATCTCTATTCAGCGAGTGTTGACGTACCTGAGTCGGATAAAGTGGACGAGGGGCGCTGCAGCGTAACGTCTTTGCTGGTTGTTTTGAACCTCTGGAAGAGATTTTGGAAGTGTAGTTTGTCGTTTCCTTGTGAACATAAACATTTGAACTCGAATTTTCCTGATAATTCAATTCCACAGTACATGCCGACTGCTGTGTATTTTCTGTAAAATTTGAAGTTAGTAGAATTATTCGACTTTTGTTCAATGTCTAAAAATTAAAAATGAAGAACTACAAGTAGAAAACTACAAATATGCTACGGTACATTCCTTACATACATACTCCGTACATGCGTATGTCTACAGTAACCTCAATATCTGAAATATACCTTCCCGTGGAACTGTATTCGATCGACGTCCTGACAATGTCCGCGATGGTGGACGAAACATTGCTAGACGATTAAGTTCAAATGGAACATTGTCTGAAATTAAATTTGATATCACTTTTAATTTTTGAAAGATTAGAAAAAATTCAAAAACAGTTTTCCATCATTTCCAAAGTTTTACTATGTGTTTGAATGATAAATTTGATTAGTTACGATTTTCAAATATTCATATCCTTTTCACATTCACAAACGGCATTACCATGAATGTTTTCGACTGATGCGTCAACTATATCTATTGCTGTAACTTTGGAAGCATCTTTTATTGCAGCTGTAACCGCTGGTATTTGCTCAAATTGTTGCTCGGTATTGGATGATACAGGCTTACATCTATCACGTAATGACATGCAATGATCCAAATCGGCCTTTGCTATAGCATTTGTTTGCAAAGGCAACAAATCCTAGAAGGGAAAAAAGACGATAAAAGAATTCAAAGAACTAAAAATGAATTATGGAATGTAGTAGTTTCTTTTTTCGGAGTGATGAATCCATATGTGTATTTTTCGTCCAAATTATTCTATCTATTCTTTTTTAGTTCCTCAAATAAATCTTTTTCGCCAGCAAGACGATAAACTATGACATCTTCCGTAGACGTCAAACCTCTGTAATCTAAATATATCTTACATCGTTTTCAATCTTTCTTTCACGATATCTGAAATGGGATCAAGTAAGTGTGACGGGATACTTTTTCGTGAATAATCAGTTAGATCCGAGCAAAATACTAAGGATAGTGTCTGCGCATATTCCGATGTTACATCCAACATGAGATTCAGAATTCGGGAAACCAAACATCAATTAACTATAACTGAATTCCCTCCCTACTAAGCTCCTAGTCATGTACAATGAAGTGATTATGAGACAATAGCACATATAAATTGAAAGGAACAAATTTAGATTAAGTTTTAAATATATAATAGATATATAATAGATGATACGTATATATAATAGATGATATATAATAGATGATACGTATAATAGATGATATATAATAGATGATACGTTTTGCTATACACTAAATTTTATAAAATTTTTAAAATCAAAAACAATCTTTTTATAAAATAAATCCTTCTTTATAATGAAAAAAAACAGCAGCAACAAAATCAAAATAGAAACATACGAAAAATCGATCACCCAGCGTACTCTCATCTTCACCATCACCCTTACCAGGTTGTGCTCCAAATACAGCATGACGAGGCACTGTCGCAACATTGAAACTATCATC